TGGGACCGGTTGGGACCGGGACCGGGACCGGCGGCCTATAACCGGTTATAAAGTACCTATACCGGTCCTATCATTTTCGACCGGGACCGGGACCGAGACCGGGACCGGTTACGCCGGGACCGGTTATGGCCGGTTATGAGAATGGTGAGGACCGATTGGGACCGGCCCGGGACCGGTTTTTGGCCATCTCTAGTTAGCTCTTCTTATTAATTACAACATTCAACCTCTTGTGTACTCATGCAAAGTTTAACTGATGTCTGTAGATCTATCCATGTTCATGATAGTTAAAAATACTAGCATTACGCATGTCCTATTCAAATGCCTCCATGTCTCTCCTTGGACATTTAAATGTTAATTGATGTTGTAAACCAACTCTACYGTTGACATTTTATGATGCTTACTTCCTTGAAGTATAAACATCTAACCTTCCAACCAATCCAACAATTTTAAAATTTCTCCTCTCCTTGACCCTGTGTCCAATGATGGTATGTTTTGCCTAAGTTCAACATTTTTCATATCCTTATAAAAGACTTGCATGAACACATGATGTAAATCTTGGATCGCTACCCGATATTGTTAATTATGGCACTTTATGCATCATTACTTTCCTATCCACCCAAAATTTGTCAACCTTCCAATATACACTTCTTAATAGTCGGTTGGAAGTGAGGTAACTTAATGTACCGTTCTAGGTACACTTTTCTTTTAGCAACAATACCCACTCCATCATATCCCAATCCATCACCGGAGTTTCTATCTGTTAAAGCCTAATCGATAGTTTATAATTTTCCATCTCTCATGGAAGACATGTCTTAAAACTCCCTGCATAACTTACTGTTATTTTTTTTTAGTGCCCGGACACCCATAGTCCTCCTTCAAATCCTTGAATTTAAATACTACTACCTTTATCTTTATATTAGAGAACATGACATTTCCTCCCCTGCCATTTTGGCTGGGATGATGCGTAAGCATTAACGTTGCTTATTTGCATCAATGTATCTTGACCCAACTTATATACAACACTATATACCATACTTGTGTTTCTTCTAGTAATGTCATCCTCAATGCGAGGCTTAACTTCCCCCTTAGCATCTAAAATGCCTTTTTGAAATTCAAACTTATTTGACTCCTGGTTAAACCTCCCATTAACGTAGATTTTAAGAAATATCTATTGAAACTTATATTAGTTTGCTAAAAACCATAAGCCTCAAATATGTAATCCCATATTTGGCATTCTCAAATCCATTATTGTGTTTGTTTTTGGTTTAACCCAACTAAATCCCACTTCCGTGACCAATAAATTGTGTTTCACCAATTACTTTCATACTTAGAACTAACACAAAGTTTCCCTTTTTCTTTCAAAACCTTCATACCAACCATATGTATTGCTCATGTTTCCCTGCCTGTTTGAAGTTGATCGACTAGGTCATCGTCCTTGGCAAACCTTGCTCCTGTAATTGATCTCATACACATCAAATTTATTGATGCATACATGCATCATACCATATTTATTTAACTCACTCTATCAATATTATCCAAGGTGTTAACTTAGCTAAATAGAATCCTTGATCAAAGGTTCTCAGAATATTTTTATCGAATTTGGCTCTTTTGCCAGGACAAAATTAGATCAATATTCTCATATTATGTGTTCCCTCTGGAACTAGGTCAATTTGAGGAACACTCACACCTAGTGATACTTTCGATACATTATCTCTAACCACCTTAATACTCGCCCACACCATGGGTACATCATACACCATCTTATTTTATTGACTGACGTCAACTACACATGCTAATCATTCAATGCTA